CAAACTAATCCTATTTTGGATTTTTTAATTCAGGAGTCTCATGAAGAGAAGAAACGCCACAACGAGAGTGAGGCCAAGACTGAGAGGTTCTTGTGTCTCTTTGAAAAATTGATAGACAAAATGTAGTTGTTTTTCATATGGTGTTAAATTTTGCACAATTGGTTATTGTATATAAGTTGCTTTACACAACTGTAGATCATTCTGTTGAATGTTTATGTTCGCGTTCCGTGTGCACGCTGCGGGAGACCGTACTCGAAAGGTGTGCGTGCGTGGTGATGTCGGGGTACACGCATTCTCCCCGCCGAGTAGTATGGTGTAGCCGGTAGAAACACAACTCTACGTAAGTTATAAGTTTGTGCAATAAACCAACGGCTTGGATTCAAAGTACGGACTCCTCACTCATTTCGACATGCTGTCAGAAGAGGGATAAATCTATCGCCTGTGAGTTCTACGTAATTTTTTTGTCTCCGGCGGAGCGGACAATTAAGCTAACGTCTCAGCTAAAGGAATAATGGCCGATGGATTTCGCAGACCAGACCCCCTCGTTTTTGACGGGAACATCGCCGAGAATTGGCGGACTTTTGAACAGGAATATGATATCTTCATAGCAGCGGCGCACTCGGACAAGACTGATAGGACGAAGGCATATATCCTCCTCAATCTCGCAGGAGCGGAGTCCATCGAACGGGAGCATTCATTCGTTTACGCAGCAGAGGTGAGAGCACCTGGTGAAGATGGAGCCGTCATTGTTCCGGCTGAATCCAGAGAAAATCCAGAGTGCTTGAAACGGAAATTTCGGGAAGTGTGCAACCCTCAACAAAACAAAACAATGAAGAGATACAAGTTCCACTCACAAAATCAGACGCAAGGTGAGACTATTGAATCCTACATCAGTGACGTGAGGATCAAAGCTAAAAGTTGTCACTTTGGAGACCTGACAGATGAACCGATTTGTGACAGAATAGTGTGTGGAATCAGAAATGACTGTATGAGAAAGGCTTTGCAGCGTGACAGTGAATTAACCCTGAACAAAGCTATTACAATCTGCCGCATATATGAAATGACTGAGGAGAGTAATAAGGCTCTAGCCCAGCCCCAAACAGCCACCACTGTTGACGTAATCCACGCAAACTCCAGTGGTTGGCACAACAGGTCGAGACTTAGACCTCAAGCAGGCCAATGTGATGCAAAATCCATTACAAATTGCAATAACTGTGGAGGCAGCCACGCCGCACAGAGACAAATGTCCTGCTTTCGGGCAGCAGTGTCATATCTGCAGGAAATTCAACCACTTCAAAAAATGCTGCAGGTCCATGTCATACGGACAAGGCTATGAAAAGAAGGGCTACGTAAAGAGAAGGGACAGCGAAAGATCGGTGCACCAGCTAGAGCTACAAGAGCCTGATGACAGTGCTAGTGACACTTTCTATATGGATGGTGTCAAAGTGGACACCATCAATCCTCAAAAAGAAGGACAAGATGAAGGATTTGTTATGCTGCATGTACATGACCGGCCAGTCGAGATGAAGGTTGATACTGGTGCAAAGTGCAATGTAATGTCAAAAGACACTTTCCGACAGCTGGCTAATGGCAAGCGACCACAGTAAAGACATGAATCTAGTGGCCTATGGAGGCAGCAAAATAGAGACTGTAGGCACGGCTAGACTGCTTGTTGTCTAGATGGACAGCAACACACACTGCCTTTTTTCATAGTGGACAGAGACGTAGTGCCTCTATTGGGATTTTGTGCATGTGTACACTTCGGAATTGTCACAATGAGCCCGCACGTTCATCAGGTCAGCACAGAGAGCAATGCTGAATTCACTGAACAGATCTACTTACAATACAAAGACGTGTTCAGTGACGAGCTTGGAAAACTCCCCGTCACATAGTCCATGACACTGGATCCAGCGGTGCAACCGGTAGTTCGTCCTGCACACCGCATCCCGGTGGCAATGCAAGCGTGGGTCAAAGCGGAGCTCAACAGCATGCGGAACAAAGGTGTAACCACAGTAGCTGAACCTACAGACTGGGTTTCGTCCATGGTTGCAGCACACAAAAAGGACAAACAGGAAATCAGGCTGTGCATCAATCCAAGGGACCTCAACACAGCCCTGAAGAGACCTCACTATCCAATGCGCACCCAGATGTCAGGTGCTACAGTGTTCTCTGTTCTAGATGCGAAGAGCTCATTCTGGCAAATACAGCTCGATCACAAGTCATCAATGCTGACCACATTCAGTAGAACGCCGTTCGGACGCTACAGATTCCTCCGCATGCCATTCGGCATAAGCTCAGCAAGCGAGGTGTTCCAGCGCTCAATGGAACAGCTGTTTTCCGGGTATCCGTGTGCGATCATAGTTGATGACATCATCATAGGAGGTTGTGATGCCGCAGAACACTATGCCAACCTAAAAAAAGTGCTTGACCGGGCACGAGAGATAAACCTCAAGCCAAACCCTCTCAAGTGCAAGGTCCGTTTGGACCAGGTCTGCTATGTGGGTCACATATTCACAAAGGAGGGCCTCAAGGCCGACCCCGCCAAAAAAGTGGCGATCACAAACATGCCAGTCCCTCAGGATGACCCAGCCATGCAGCAATTCCTTGGCATGGTGAATTATCTTGGGAAGTTTATCCCAAACCTCATGGGAAACCATTTGCCTACGCGTCTTGCACGCTCACAGACACAGAAACACGATACGCTCAAATTGAAAAGGAACTGTTGGCAGTGGTGTTTGCATGCATCAAATTCAAGGATTACGTGTGGGAAGCCAACGGTGGTTGAAACTGACCACCAACCCCTTGTCACAATCCTGAAGAAGCCCATCCACACTGCTCCTGCTCGACTGCAAAGGATGTTACTACAGTTACAGGCCTATGACATCACACTGGTCTACAAGAAGGGTAAGCACATGTACCTAGCTGATACCCTATTACGAGCTCCGAACAAAACCATCTCACAAGGTCCAGCTGCAGACGACACATTTGAGGTGATGTCTGTTAGCTACATCTCAACCAACAGACTGGAGGATCTGCGGACCCACACGGCACGGGACCAAGTGCTACAGACTCTCAGCACAATCATCCACCGTGGATGGCCTGGCAAAGAACGCAGCGCCCCCCCCCCTTCCATTCGTCTATTCTTCCCTCACAGAGACGAGTTGGAAGTGGAGGAGGGGACAATTATCAAGGGCCACAGAACTGTGATTCCATGTTCTCTGCAGCGAGAATACATTCACATCATACACCGAGGTCACCCAGGTTTGGAGTCAACCAAGCGCAGAGCCAGGGGTACAGTCTTTTGGCCGACGATGAACAGTGACATTACAGAGGAGCTGCTGTCGTGTTCAGTCTGCAACAGCACCAGACCACACCAGTAAAAGGAACCTCTACAACCTCATCCAGTTCCAGTCTTGCCATGGTCCACGGTGGCTGCTGATATGTTTGAGTGGCACGGACAACAATATCAGGTGCTGGTAGACTCGTACTCGGGATGGTATGAAATCGACCTCCTCCGAGACGCAACTTCAGCAGCTGTGATCACAAAGCTGAAAAGACACTTTTCGGTTCATGGCGCGCCGCACACCCTCATCACAGACAATGCAAGGCAGTACACGAGCCAGCGTTTTAAGGATTTCGCCGAACACTGGGACTTCAGTCATGTTACCAGCAGCCCGGAGTATCCGCAGTCGAACGGATTGGCAGAAAGGGCGGTACGCAGTGCTAAACAACTGATGGAGAAATCTCACAGAGATGGGACCGACGTCTTCCTCAATCTGCTGAACATCAGAAATATTCCCCGTGACCAAGCCTTAGGCTCACCTGCAGAACGTCTGATGTCACGACAGACGCACTCAGCTCTTCCTGTCAGTACCAGACTGTTAGAGCCAGCCCCGAAAATCACGAAGTAGGTCACTGCCCATCTCCAACTTCCCTCTGAAAAGCACAAAGCAAGCAGGCTAAGAAACCAAACTAAGTGATACAGCACACGCGATGTACTGTTGTTTTCGGCACATTGAAGACACTGGACACTACCCGATATGATAGTCCATGAGCCAGCCAGTAAACATAGATTAAAGTGGGATTTTCGTCAGTACGCACTGTAGATTGTCGTGGAATTTCAGGTTTACGGCTGTTCACGGCAATTTGCGGGCAACGCCGAAAACTGCCGTAAATTGTCAGAAATTGACGTGGGCCTCCCTTGGCAGTTGTCCCCCCCATGACTCCCTTCCTCCTAATTCTAGGGGAGGCTTTGACATGTAAATTAAAATGCTGTGAGCTATACAAATGCAAATCAGGGTTGCAGAGGGAGTTTTAGCCCAGGTGACATTTTTTTAAAAGGTAAGAAAATCTCCTTTACAAATAGATCAGCCTCAGTAGCCTAATTATAGACTCTTACATTTTAGCTTGAATTGATTTATTTAAGTCATTACTGTGTATGCCATTAGCCATGGCAAATGTTATGTAAAAAAGATACACAAAATAACTTCTTTAAAAAATGAGTTTTAATTAAGGTAAAATGAGCATTCCATGCAAACAACATTTGAATCAGAATGAGGGGTCTGCAGAGATCACAGTCTCCTAGAGCTCAACTACAGTGCATAGTGGCAGGACTACAGTGACCTTTTCTTTGGTCTTACTTAAATGCACAGAGGATGTATTAACCACACATCTTCTAGCAATACGCTCAACTGGCAGAAATGATGCTGGGTATGACGTGTCTGTTCCTTGCAAGCCCCAAACTTCTATTGGCCATTTTTTGGCCATAAAAATGTCTGTCCGGGTGGGGATGAAGCCAGGAAACTTGTGCAAGAACATGTTTAAATGCAGTACCCTTTGACACAACATTAACAACTATAAACTGGTTTATAATGGCTGGTCGTAGTTCTGCTAGAGCAGGGGTCCCCAAACTTTTTCCAGTGAGGGCCACATAACTTTTCCCTTCTCTGATGGGGGGCCAGGGTCAGTTTCTAACAGAAAAAGTGTGACATTCGCAGGGGTCCCTAAATGTAATCATTTATTGTTTTCCAGAAAACATGCTGACACTCCAGCGCACCACACATATCCAAATATTAATAACCCTTTCTGAGATCAAATAACCCTCTCTGGGTTCTTCACAGAAAGAAAGTTATGCTGTGCCATGCACAATCCTAGATAAAAGGTAAACTTGTCACAGCAGAATCTCAAATGTCTCTCAAAGTTCTTGTGTTCTTTGTAGGTTCCATAGGCTAGCCCAGTAGACACCACTGTAGGCTCCCTCTCATCAACTTCCCTCTGAAAAGCACAAAGCAAGCAGGCTAAGAAACCAAACTAAGTGATACAGCACAATGCATTTCAATACCAGTATGGTTGTGGAGATGGATTTTTATCCCAATAGATTTTATTAGGATTACATTTGTTGAAACACAGAATGACTGATATAAGTCAGAAAAGTGAGCTTACCTATGTACTGTGTGTTCATCAGTGTGAACTGTGGGCCTGCATCTGGCTGGAGAGAAGTTGAATGTCCGGTTCCATTCTAGTCACAGCCAGTCTCAGACACTGATGCAAATGTTCATCTGTCAATCTTGATCTCGGAGTTTTCAGGAGTTTCATGCGTGAAAAGGTTTGCTCGCAGATATACGTGCTACCAAAAAGTGTGGACATCTTCATTGCGTGTTGTTTTATGTTAGGGTAGGTGTCATTTGGGAGGGCGGCATAGAAGTCAATGAGACTGTTGGGCTTGAATGCGTCTTTCAGAACATCACAGTTCTGTAACTCGGCCAGCTCAAACTGATACGAAGGCTGGGCTTCATCGATGTCGGCAACATGATTACTTTTTTGTTCAGTTGAAAGAAAAGGCTGTTTGTCTCGTCTGTCAAGAGACGGTGGCGGTATTCAAAGAATACAACCTGCGCCGACATTATGAATCCCGTCACAAAGACTCCTCGCACATCTCAAAGTTTGCGTTAACTCCACGAATAAAAATAAGAAGCTCCGCGGTGTCCTGCACGTCCGTGCTCTCATCCAGTGCTAATGAAAAAAACTGAAAATCTTTAGTCTTCTGCTGCAGCTGGGCATACACATCACCCCCAATTTCTTCAACACGTCGGGTAATTGTACTTGCCGACAGACTCACGGCATTAAAGACATCTTTCTTCTCGGGACAGACCTCCTCCACGACAACATTCAAACATTTCTTGACAAACTCTCCTTCAGTGAAAGATTTACCGCAGCTTGCTATCAGCTGAGCAACACGGAAGCTGGCCCGAACTGATGCTTGGTTCAGCTGAGTTTGCCGTACAAATGTAGTCTGCTGAGCGAACAGTCCAGTTTTTAGCTTAGACATTTTTTCTGCTCGCATTTGGCCGTGCAGGCTAGCATACTTGTCTTTGTGACGGGATTCATAATGTCGGCGCAGGTTGTATTCTTTGAATACCGCTACCGTCTCTTGACAGACGAGACAAACAGCCTTTTCTTTCAACTGAACAAAAAAGTAATCATGTGTCCATTGCGGGTTAAATACCCTGCATTCTGAATCAATTTTTCTCTTACCATACCGTTTTGCCATTATTGTGGAAGTTGCATTCCACAGAGAAAGTTGAGAACAAGCGTGTGTCTCGTTTATTTTTCACAACGGATGAAAAAACAAGATGGCGCAGCCCTGTAATCTCCCTATCAACGGGCTCTACGTCATCAACAACAACAGAACATTTAAAGGGACCGCGATCCGTCGAGCAGTCGTAATTACTTGTATGACACAACCATTTTACCATAACCATTAGCCTTTTTTCCGTCTCTGTATTGTTCAGGGGGCCGGGTCAAATGTGGAGCCGGGCCGTATGCGGCCCGCGGGCCGTAGTTTGCGGACCCCTGTGCTAGAGGGTCAAGGACGGGTTCCTCAAAACTGTTAGTGTTTCCACACCACTTAGCATAAACATATGCTGACCTTTATGCTCTGCATCTATCGATTGAGTAAGTTACATTCATATATGTTACCCGTTTACATGTAATGGCAAAACATTCAACCTCAGTGACACAAGGGTACATCTGATGATACATTGTCAACATTGCATGTATGTCAGACTCATCCAGGATTGTCTGGTGGAATGGAGAAAGAGGCACCACTGTACAGTTTTCTAGGGAAAGTCGTTCTGCTGACGCCAAAACACTGCTTTACATAAAGCATATCAGCTGTTTCATTGCACGACAGTCAGAAGTCCCAACCGTTTGTCTTCCTAAAATACTGGTCCTTCCGTATAACAATAACCTCGTATGTGATTGGAGGACCCTTAGACTCCTCGTCCAATCACGTGTGAGGTCATAGGCATGACTCATACAGCAGTACTTGCAAGACGAGCATACAAACAGACTATATTCAGAAGAACTGTATCTCCAGTTCCTTTGTTTGGTTTTTGCAGGTTCGTAAATAATGGCTGGACGACGTCTCGCCTTCAACTCGCCTTCAACTCCTCTCCGCGGTCACCAACTTTCGGCCAGTCCGCAGACAGACAAGAAGAAACTGCTGAATGCTCTCAGTGGATCGTCTCGTCAATTCCAACAACAAACTGCCGATATCAATGAGCGGTTCGCTCAACTGGAGAGTTCGGTACTCTCCAGGTTGCTGTCCATAGAGGAGAGGTTGGTGGCTCTGGAGTCGCACAACTGCGTGGGAGGAACTGACTCAAAGAAGAGGAGACGGGCGCACAATCCCAAGATAGCGGTAAGAATATGTTCGATAACTGCAAGCTAAGCTAAAAGTAGCGTAGCCCTTAAACGAAAGCTAAGAGTAGCCTAGTAGCCTTACAAGTGAGCAGAAACAGCTTTATTAAAGTGTATTTTCTTTGCCGTGTCGTTTACAGGAAGCGGTGCGCCGTCTCCACAACTCCGAGACGAATTACAGGCGCTACGAACCGGAGCAAGGGTAAGATTTAAAGAATATGCTTTCATTCTGCAGTATAAGGAAATATAAACGTATAGATACTATAGGATGGATACCAATCATAACTGTGCATTTTGTTTTCACAGACTAATCTTGCCTCATAATGAGGCGGTGACCTCGTATTTGCTCCAGGAAATATCTGCAAGTCCAGATTTCGATTTAGATAAAGACGTCATTGTGTGTAAGTGACACTGTTTACTGTTTCTCCTTCCTTGTTAAATGTTACTGTGACTTGCGTTTGATTTTTTTTTAATTCATACCACACTCATTTAAATGTTTTCCAGCCGCCTGTAAGACGTATTTTGAGACGGTACGCAGGAGCTTCAGGTTTTCCCAGCCGGAACACTCATTGCGGGCGGAAGCTTCGAAGAATTCAGCGCGGAGTCGAGCGAGAAGAAAAAGGGTAAGAGTTTATTTGCTGACTTTCTTCAGGTGCATTGATGATGTGTTACATTACATTACATTTAGCAGACGCTTTTATCCAAAGCGACTTACATTACACTTTAAACCCATAGCTTTTTCACATTTTTGCCCAGGGAGAAATTAGGGGTTAGGTGTCTTGCTCAGGGACACTTCGACATGGAACATGGGGCAGCCTGGAATAGAACCAACAACCTTGTGCTTCCCAGCACACCTTCTCTAACCCCTGCGCCACGACGACCCCTTGTGTCCATACGCATCGCATCGCACAGTACTGATTCATTGTTGTTTTTACAGCTGCTGGAATCGAGACAAAGTGCGCTGGCTGATGACGAGGTGGAACTCTGGAAATCCGCCACCGTAGAGCTCACGTCGGACGGAGGGGACGGCGTTGTTGGCGGGGTCTCGGGGTGGATTGTACGGTCGCCACGCACATTAGGCGCCTGCACAACAGACCTGCCTCGGAAAACACGCCGCCAGTGACGGTCTACAACCCCGAGGAGGCAAACGGACAGTTTACTGAGCTGTAGTTTTTAAACCGCCGTTACCCAAGTGTGGGCAGATCCTCACTTTGTATGTAGTTGTTGTTTGTGTGTTGTTAATAAAGCTCTTTCTTTGCATAAACATGTGGCAAATGTTCATTTTCTCTATAAATTCATTGATGTCCTGGTTGGTATCCTAATAATAGTGTAGTAGCCTACATAGGATAACAATGAAATGAATATACAGCATAATATGAATATATAAATATATATAAATAAAATGAGGCGGGTGACCAATAGCGACAGATCTGCCAACCAATCACGAGTGATTGCAAGTTGTGGTTTCATCCAATCATGAACAAGGAAACTCAAGCCTGGTTTGCCCAGGTGTGGTTTTGCGGCCAATCACGAGTGATTTTATTTGTTAGAAAGTTGTGGTTTCATCCAATAAGGAGTAAAGATATTCAAGCCCGCTCAGCTCGGCCACCCGCGGTTTCGCTGCATTCATATGATAATTAGGGCCATTCGCACCTCCGCCAGCTCTCCAGAGAGAGGGGGAGAAAGAAAACGGAGGAGGAAGAAAGAGGGGAAAAATAGAAAATAGGAGAACGAAAGAGAGAAGGAGGAAGGTAGAGAGAGGGGGAGAAAGAAAGTGGAGGAGGAAGAAAGAGGGGAGGAATAGAAAAGAGGAGGAGAATGAAAGAGAGGAGGAGGAAGTGAGAAAGATAGGGGAAGGCGGGGGGAGGAATGGAAGGAGAAGAGAACAAAGAAAGATGAGGAAGAATGAGGGGAGGAGGAAGGAAGAAAAAGAGGGGGAGAAAGACAGAGGCTGAGGAAGGGAGAGGGGGGGAAAGAGAGGGAGGGAGGAAGGGAGAGAGGGGAGAAAGAAAGAGGGGAGGAATGGAAAAGAGGAAGCGGAAGGGAGAAAGGGGAGAAAGAAAGAGGGGAAAGGAGGAGGAGGAAGAGTGGAATAGTGAGGAAGGGAGAGGGGGAAGAATGGAAAGAGTGGAGGAACAGAAAAGAGAGAAGGAGGAAGGGAGAGAGAGGGGGAGAATGAGAGGGGGAAAGCATATCTGCGTTCTGTGACTCCACTAATCAACTATTATGGATCAGCTGTGTGACACAAACTGACCAACTGACAGACTGCAGCGTGTGTGCTGGTCTCCACGGTAACGGAGCACCTGCTCAAAGGACAGAGACAGGACAGCGAGTTACACAGAATCCACACCTCAAACAAGTGTCCTCTAGCGCAAAACTATAACAGCTATCTAAAAAATAAGAATAAGATGCTCGCGCTCAAAGGTGTTTTCTACGCGCTCGCTGTTTATCTTTTTGACAGTAAGGGGGCGGAGCCAGTCACCATGGTATCTACATCTGATTGGTTACAAACCCCGTCTTTGGATTGGCTGGAGTGATGCATTCACACAACTATAGAAGCCCATTTCCGCACTAAAGAGAGAGGATAGAAAGTTAAAATTATGAGATAAAACGTTGTCAGAAAAACAAACGCCCCCCTTCGGTAATCGTAGTGGACCGTAGAGGACAACCAGCTACAACCATCATTTACCATCATTACCGGCACATTGAGAGCAATGCGTCCAGCTCGCAGACCGGTCCGTCAGTCTGAATCTGAATATCTTGCCAACTTTACCGAACTATGGAGGAGCCTGCGCATATCTTACCTCATTATTTCAATTTTCCAAAAAGTCAATCCGTATTGAAAGTTGGCAAGATATTATTTTTATTATTTTACAAATACGGACCGGTCTGAGACTAAGAGCAGCTTTTTCTTAATTTAAAAGAAAAAGTTTAGAATCGATAATCAGTTTAGAATCGAATCGTGAGGTGCCAAGAGATTCCCACCCCTATCAATTACATTACAGGTCATTTAGCAGACGCTTTTATCCAAAGCGACTTACATTACACTTTAAACCCATGGCTTTTTCACATTTTTGCCCGGGGAGCAATTAGGGGTTAGGTGTCTTGCTCAGGGACACTTCGACATGGAACATGGGGCAAACTGGAATCGAACCAACAACCTTGTGCTTCCCAGCACACCTTCTCTAACCCCTCTAACCCCTGCGCCACGACGACCCCAAATATTAATAATATTTGTCTCAATCCAGGGTTCATACACATTTTGACCAGTGGATTTCCATGACTTTTCCATGACTTCAAACAAAATTTCCATGACCAAATAAGTGTGAAATCTCAGTGTATACATGAAAAAGTGAGAAAATGTAGTATTTAAACTAACAATGAGAATACCAAAGCATACAGTGTATATATAATTCGGTCTCAAGATGTTATAATTATCCACTATGGATGAGTATCTTTTGGGGGTTTCCTGATACCAGTGCTAAAATGATACTTATAAAACATACCGGTGCCTAAACGGTGCCTAAAACTTGTTTTCCATTATATTACTTCAAATTATGGGCAATACATGAACTGTTAACAGTTTAAAGTAGACAACAGTCTCTGTAAGAGCCGGAAGTGTATGTATTACTTCATTGGAATTTGGGGAATATTAATCATTTAATTTATGGTCATTGTGCAGGAACTAAAGATATGTAACTTGTATTGAACGCATTTATATTGGATTGACGCTCCTTGT